CACACCAGCAGACCTGCGCCAGTCCCATCACAGCACACACAGCAGACCTGCGCCAGTTCCATCACAACACACACCAGCAGGCCTGTGCCAGGCCCATCACAGCGCACACCAGACCTGCGGCAGTCCCATCACAGCACACACCAGACCTGCGCCAGTTCCACCAGAGCACACACCAGCAGACCTGCGCCAGTCCCATCACAGCACACACCAGACCTGCATCACTCCCATCACAGCACACACCAGCAGACCTGCACCAGTCCCATCACTGCATACGCTCCAACCAGAGGCAGCAAGTCCTTCAACCCAGTCTCCAGTGCAACTCTGCCTCCAAGGCAGGGAGCAGACAGTGAGCTGTGAAGGCACTGGTGTGGCTCTATTTCCAAGAACTGCACGGACATTGAAGTGTGACTGCACAAGACTCACACGTGTCACAAGATCCTACCCATCTGATTTTCAACCACACACAGCTTGTGTCATGGATGCCTCCCCAGGGTCCATGTGTCAAAGGCCTGGTCCTCGACAGCACCAGAGGACACAGGGCCTAGGGGGAGGCCCTTAAGTCGCTGTGCCCTCACAAGGGCAGCAGAACCCTGGCCCTCTCTCTTCTGTTTCTTGGAGATGAGGTGTACAGTTTGCTCCGCCATGCGCTCCCTCCTATCCTCCTTCCCCGCACCAGAGGCCCAGGAGTAATAGGGTTGCCTGACTGTGGCCTAGAACCCTAAAGCTGTGAGCCAAAATCACCCTCTTCTAAGTACTATCTAAGCATTTCCTTACAGGGATGGAAAGCTAACTAACACAAACCATTTTTTTTCTGGTACCAGGAATCCAACTCAGGACCTTGTGCTTGCCAGGCAGGTGCTTGTGCTGCTGAGCTATATCCCCAGCTCCCTAACACAAACCATCTGAAAACAGCTCAAAGCACCCTTGCCTTGCAGGTCATACACAACAGTGGGCCAGACCTTGCCCAGCAGTGGAGGCAGTGTCCTGTCTGCTAAACGCACTGGATATCAGCAGGCCATGTAGACAGCTGCCAGGGGCCAGCTCTGCTCAGGCTCTGTTCAGGCAAAATCTAGCCCTCCTTTTGGGACATCATCCCACAAGAGCCCAGTTTGTGGAACTCCAAGGACCTGGGCCTTGGACAGGGAATGAAAACAGGTGAAGAAGAAAGAACACAAAAAATGTTCCACCCTGGAGACTGCCTAGAAGGTGTTGCACTCCACAGCCCCTGGGGGCTGCTCAGGGCTGGGTGCCCCTTTCTTCCTAATTTTCCTGGCACCCTATGTGGTGAGGACGATGCCTCAGCATCCCTGTGACTTCCCAGGACTCAGGTAGACCAACTCACCGCAGGGTCCGGCACGCAGCAGGAGAAGGGCACCCCACACTTCTCGCGGCTGTAGCTGGCACCACTGCAGTTGAAGTACACATTGAGGTCCCAGTCCTCGGGGCCGTACGCCCCACAGCAATGGTTCTGCAATCACAAATGCCCAGAGCCAGCATCAGAGGCCTGGAGTGGGGCTGGGGTACCTAGGACAGGGCGGCAGTCAGGTGTGGCAGGGTGAGGATGCCCCATCAGATAGGAACCCAGGCCCACAGTGCACCTCATGCACACAAAGACACTGCCAGTGCTGACAAACAGGCAGCCCCTGAAGTAGATGCCGGTCTGGTCCGCAGTCTCCATCCAACCCCCAGGGCTGGCTCTAGCCCCTTCTCAGCCAGACACTACCTTCTTCCCACACCCTCCAGCCTGCCCTCCTGTCCTGTGAAGCCCTTCTGTGTGGCTCTGTCCTCTCCTATCAGAGGGAACCCTTGGGGGGCAGTGAGCCTTGTCTCCAAAGATCTTCACACTGGCCCCAGTGACTTTTACAGCTCTTTACAAAGAGCTGCTCATTGTCCCACCCAGAGGAAGAGCTCCAACTGAGGAGGGCAGCAGTGCATCTGCCTCTGCCCCTCCCAGGGCCTCTGTCCCTGCTCCCACTATCTGATGCAGAGGCAGAGCAGACTTCCACCCTGAAAGCATTGCTGTGAAGAACTACGGCATCCACCAAAGGAGCCCCGGCACCTGGACCTGCCCTTGAGGCTGGTGTGGCAGAGACAGAAGACCCAACAAACGACAACACAGGCGTCTGTCTTCGGTGTCTTTTTTGTCACTATTTTAAAGATAAAACCCCACATTCCTATGCCAACTGTTCTAATGATAACCTACTCTGTCTCCCCAAGGAAGCTCTCTCACTCCCTAACTCCCCCAGAAGCCTTGTTTCTGAGAGAAGGCAGCAATGGAGAAGGCTGTACTGTGGTGAGGAAATGCAGCAAAAACACCGTAAACCAGAACCACGTGAACTCAGAAATGGGGATGGGTGCCGGACAGAAAAGCAGTGATAAGGGTCAAGGAGCACAGCAGGGCCCGGTGACCTGCATCAGTAAGCAGGGGTCAGCAGTACATCTGGTCACAGAGATGGGTTTTGCTGGATCCCAGTGTTAACCAAAGAGCAGGGCATAGTTATTTTTAGAGCATTCTAGTTTATTTTCTTCTCGGAAATAAAGTTATGTATCGAGTTCTTAAGGAAGCTGACTCCTAGCACAGGATGGAGTGGTAGGGCTCAGGTGGCTGTGGTCCAGGCCCCCTAGGGATCAGCCCCCTAGGGATGTGTTCCAGGAGTCACATCCCCACAGCAGAGGAAGCTCTGCTCTCTCCAACAGGCAAGGAAAGGTCCCAGAGGAAGAGGACAGAAAGAGACTCGGAAGATGGCTCATGTGCTTTGGTCTGGGGAGGTGGGGGCAGAGGGGGGCGCGCGGGAAGCCTGGGATGCACACGCCCTCCTGAGGCAGGTATCTCCTGGCACTGTTGGACTTGCTGCCTTGGCCAAGCAGGTATCCCCACCAGGGCCCCAAGTGGCTGGCAGAGCTGCACTGATCCAAGACAGAAAAGCAGCGGTGAGGGACAAGAAGCACAGTGGGGGGACAAGAAGCCCCGCTGTGTATCTTGTCCCTTCTGCACATGGCACTGTGGGCAGCAGGCCACTGGGGAGCCGGCTGGCCGCACTTACAGCTTTCTGCAGGGAGTCGATGAGGTTCTGCAGGTCTATGTCATCCCGATAGGATCTGATGTTGCTCTCGAAGAACTCCCGGAAGCGGTCCCTCACCCAGTCCTGGAATAGGAAGGCCAGCACAGCACCGGCCAGTTCCAGGAAGAAGATGAGTACGATGGCACCGCAAAACTGTGGGAGACATGGATGGGGTCATCACACCACCAACCCAACCTGGCCCTGACCACTCTGACCTGAACCCTTGCCTGCTGCAAAGAGCACTAGATGTGTATGTGAGATCCCAGATGGGCCCGGGGTCCCTCACTATTAGTGAGGGACTTCCCAGGCAACTCTGTCTCCCTCTGTAAGTGGCGATGCCAGCACAGCCATGTCACTTGCTGCATGGGTAGGAACAGAAAATGTGTGCGGGGTCCAAACAGGCCTCACCCACTACCACTCACCTCCAAGGACGCAGTCCTGCTCGGCAAGGAGATAGAGGTCGCATCTCAGGACTGAGTAGCTGTGCCCGCCCCATCCTGGCTACCAGATGCTTGTGGACAGAGCCTGTGCCCAGGTACCAAATGGCTATGTGCCACCTACACAACCACCCAAGTCCCTAGAAATCCTCCTGCTGCCCCTACTTTAGGGACAAGGGAACTGAAGATCTCCCTGGTGCACTCTTGCCTGAGGTTACCACATGTCATCTGTGTTCCCAGCATCCACTCTGGAGGTGAGCATGTGCCACAGCACTGGTCAGCCAGTCAGACCCCTCCCAAAGCACGGCTGCCCTTGGCCCCAAGTGAGGGTGTGTGCTCTAGGCCCTTATGAAGCCACAGGTCCACCCCACCCCACCAAGGTGCCCCTGCCCTACAGAGTCTATTTTCACAGCCTCAAAGGACACTGGGCAGCTTTGCCATAACCAAAGCTGTGGGGGAGGCAAGCACTCACATACACAGGCCTCCAGAGTGTATCTGTTTACTGGGAAGCCACACTAACCATAGCATTTTTAAGAGGTTAAAAAAAAAAAATGTGCTTTGTTTTTTAAATTATGCCCAGAAAAAAAGGTCTGACCTAATAAACTCAACAAATAATATATTGCGAAAAAAGATGTGCTTTCCTTACCAGCTGCTATTTAATTTTAACTGAATGCATTTAAAAACGCATTTGTATCTAAATATAAAACTAAACTCCTAGTAGCTTGCAGTTCTGCCAGGAAATTAGGATTATGCACTCCATGTCCAGATTCATACATCCTGGAGGAAGGAAAGGATTTCCTAATGTTACTGGCAACATCTGATCTTGGACAGGAAAGGCAAAGGTGAGCAGCAAACAATTCCTTTAGAACTTGCGAGGGCTGATGAAAGGCAAGGGAAGGTCTTCCTGCCCCAGAGAAAGGGACAGCTTTCCACTTTCTGATACCCTCTTCCATATCCTTTTACAGACTACTGCAGTTTTCAATGTAGAAATCTTTACTTTCTTTGTTACCATGACTCCTACTATTCCACTTTTTTGCATGCTTTTTTGAAAAGTGTGGTTTCCCTAATTTCTCAGCTTGAAATTTGTACAGGAATGCTATTGATTTTTGAGTGTTGATTTTGTATCCAGCTATACAACTGAATCTAGTTATTAAATCTACCAGGTCTTTTGGTGGAGTTTTTGGGGTCTTCTATGTAGAGAATCATGTCATCTGTGAATAATGGTAATTTCACCTCTTCCTTTCCTATCCTTATTCCTTTTATTTCTCTCTCTTGTCTAACTTCTCTGGCTAATGTTTCCAGAACTATATTGAATAGGAGTGGTGATAGGGGACCTCCTTGTCTTGTTCCTGATTTTAGAGTGAAAGCTTCCAGTTCCTGTGCATTTAGCATTGGTTTGTCATAGATGCCTTTTATCAGATTTTTGGCCATACTCCCAAAACTGTTACACAGATTTAATGCAATCCCAATCAAAATACCAATAACATATCTCACAGAACTACAGAAAACATATCTAAAATTCATCTGAAACTAGAAGAGATATAGAATAGCAAAAGCAATTTTGGGCAATGAAGGCAAGGCAGGGGGCAAATTCCCTATGATGAATGTGATTATTATGTATGCCTAAAATATACCAATAAAATTAATTAGTTAAAAAAAGGCAAAGGAGGGAGGAGTGGGCACCTGCCAGCTCTTTCTTCAGGCACTAAAAACCAGAGAGGTCTGGTGCCTGGCACAAGGCACCAGCTCCTGTGAACACCTAACTCTGCTCTCCACAAGGCAGCAGGGTGCCAAAGGCCAATTCCTGCTGCCGCCCCAGCCGAGGACACCTGGGCCTACCCGCCAAGTCCATGCCCCCTCCCCTGCCCCCGGTCACTCACAAACTTGAGCAGGCAGATGTTCTCCCGCAGGGCCCCCACACAGCCAGCAAAGCCCAGTGTGAACATCACCACGCCCACCATCAGGACCAGCACCACCGGGTCGATGCCGTGTAGCCGGGTCACTCGAGTGAGGTCGGACAGCACACCCTGCCAAGAGAGCAGCTGTCAGGCACTTGGGCACAGGTGGCTGGGTACTGAGGACTGGCGGCCCCGTCTGAGGAGGCCATGTGCTGGTGGCTCCGGCTCCTTGAGCCCCCTCCACCCTCCCCGGGGGCCCTGTTCTCCCTGGGCTCCGAGGCACTGCCCTGCTGCCTGCATAGCCACTGGTCACAGGTGTTACTGACCACTCAGGGGTATGGCCAGGGAGACCCTGGACCTGCATTTGTGCTCATTTTAATTATTTTAAACGTAAATGCAAGTAATAATAGGTGGCTAGTGGCCACCACAAGGGGCAGTTTTTGAGACTCCAAGCACAGGAGGCCAGGTAGCAGTGCTGCAGTCCTGGAGGTGGCCACACGGTGGTGCTGTGAGGTGCGGTCGCTCCAGCGCCAGGCCCTGAAGCAAAGGGACCCTGTGCCCTGCTCCTGCATTTAGATCCTATCCAGGTCCTCAGAGCATGGCAGGGGCAGGGACAAGCACAGATCTACATGCTCTTGTGCTTGTCCTGTGCAAGCAAAAGGAGGCTCCTCTGAAGGGATGGAGCCCAGGACTGGGGCTCTGCCAGGGCTACACTTCCCTTCCCACCTTGCTGTGTCTTCCTGTGCTCTCTGTGGCCCCACAAGGACTTCAGCCCTCACCACCAACCCGCCGGGGCAGGGATGGCACCTCTTCCACATGTCTGCACCACGCAGACTCATGGTCAAGGCCTGTCCTTCCAGACCACACAGCCTGGTCCCCTCTCCCCAGAGCACAAGAGACCAGGATGGCTCAGGGACAGTGCCCTGGCTCCCACGGGCAGGAAGGTCGGAGGGAGGCAGCACTTCAAGCCCAGACTGGGCCATCCCAGCACTGGCTACAAGCTGCTGACTCCACCAGTTCAAGAGTGGGGCTGCTTCCCGGACCCTCCCAGCTGCATGGAGAAGCTTGTGGCAGGCACAGAATGGAGGGGACAGCTCAAGGTGAATAAATCCGTCTGGGCTGCCTGACACTCCATCCCTGCAGAGGCTCCACCTACCTTTTCGCTCCATGCCCACAGCCCGACTCCAAGGAAGACAACTCCAGCCAACTGGGCACATGTGTAGGTGGGGGGAAGAAAGAACGTTAGGTCAGAAACTAGCAGCATGAACATGTCATTGTTGTTGCGTTGTTTGCTTTTGCTCGATGGTGGTACTAGAGCTTAAACCCAGGACCTCCCCCAGCTCTTTTTATTTTTAATTTGAGTCAGGGCCTAAGTTGCTAAGATGCCCTGCCTGGGCTCAAACTTGCAGTCCTCTTGCCTCAGCCTCTCAGAGCGCTAAGATTACAGCCATGCGCCACCCCGTCCAATGAACGGGGTTCTGAGAGCAGAGTCCACCGCTAGTCAGGAACGCCCCCTGGTCCGGTCTGAACAGCACCTCAGCCCTGCAGGCAGAGCCACTACACCAAGGCAGGATGCAGAGGCTCTGCAGCTAAACCAGGAAGGACCTCCCCAAATTTCTGACAAATCCTTTCCACGTCAGAGGGCCTCACAACCCAGAGACCAGAGGTGAGGGTCTCAGAGCAGACTGGGTTCTGCAGACCCCAGAGTGGAGACATCAGGCTGTGTGTCATTTCTTCAGGCTCTGCTTCAGCCCCCCATTCATCTCAAAGCATGTTCCGTCATCTCAAAGCATGTTCCAGTATATGAGACAGGGACTTCCTGAGGGCTAAGCTGGCGCCTCCCAGGCCGGTGGCAGCAGAAGCAGCACCATTTATACCCATCTCCACCTCTGCCTTGGACTCAGGCTCCAACTACAGCAAGCAGAAAAGCCACCCAGCCCGTTTGCTGGCCAGCACTGAGCCTCCTCACTGCGGCACTACCTTCCGCACAGGGCCGCAAGGATGCCTGGGAAACACTGGGTTACGAGCTACTGAATGAGCCCAGACCTCACTGGGCACTGAGCTCACTCAGGAGAAAGCGCCCTGAGCCTGACCTGGCACCCACCAGGTCTGCTAAGCCAGGGAGGATTTCTGTAAAACCCAGACTTGTCAGAGCCCTGCAAACAAAGCTGCCTCCTGGGTAGACTACTTGACACCACACTGGCATTTCTTGGCTACTTTTCAGTGCCTCATCATAAATAACAGGGTGGGGCTTCTCCCACACCACACCCATTTCCTAGTTGATGAGATCTCCACTTTTCCGGATGGGGTACGAGGCCACTTCCTTTCCTCACCCCAGGGTTGCACAACAGCATGAAAAGCAGCCCACAGGCGACGCCACCCTACCAGTCCTCAGTCCCCAGTGCAGATGTCCCTCCAGCCAGCACTGAAGGTCATCCCATCTGACCTCCTGTCCCCTATCCCCACCCCCAGCTTCACTGATACACCCAGCCCCAAGGACACCAGCGCCCCTTCCCTGGGGCTGTCTTCCTTCCTTCATTCTTGGCTTTTCTTTCCAATCCAAGTGCTGATAAACCTCAGGCTCAGCCCTGGGCCCCTTGCCCTCTCTGAGCCCTCTGGGTGACCTCACCATTCCCACAGCTCTAAACACCATCTATCTATAGCCTGCAGAGCCAGACCTCCAGCGTGGCCATGGCCCTGGCCATACATCCTAGGGCCACTGCAGCTGGTCTACCTGAACAGTCTGAGGAGACTCTGCTCTCACCACACCCAGGAAAGCCTGGGCCTCCCAACCCCACCCGCTCCTCCCCAACTACACCTGCTGCTTGCTGCCTCCTTCTCTCTTGTTCCACACTCAACCCTCAAGGACCCTCTACTGCTTCTACCTTCAAAATGGATCACATATTTGACCGGTTTTCTTCCTGACTCTGTTCCCATCTGTCCACGATCACCTGTTCAAGTCAGGACTTGCAGGAGGCTCCTCCCAAGCTTCAGTGCAAACAGTGATCTTTTAAAAATACAGCTGCCCCTCAGTATCTGAGAGCAGAATCCAGCAGGGTCAGGGACACTGTTGGTTCCATCTAGGGCAGCGCCTTGGCCCCCACAGATACAGCCCGCTGCCAAGACAGGAACATGGAGGCTCTGCAGATAACCAGGAAGAGTTTCCCCTCTGGACACCAAAACCTCAGACACTGTAATCCCTTAGAATCAGTGACCCAGTATATGCACAGAAGAACCTAATTTAATCTTCCATCTTTCCAGACTTTAAAGCATCTCTAGATTGTTCATCATGCCCAATACAATGTAAATGCTGCATAAACACCTGTTATACTGCATTGTTTAGGGAACATGGGTAAAGTCCACAGTTGAGTATAGGCGCAGATTTTAAAAAGTATTTTATATCTAAGCTCGGCTGAATCCATAGATGCAGCATCAGGAGATAGTGAAAGGTGACTGTGTGATAAGGTAATTCCCTTCTCAGAAGCCCCCATGACTTCTCTTCACATCCAGAACAAAAACTGTCCACTCTGCTGAAGCCCGCAGGGCTATGCAGCAGCCCCTGCCAGTTCCAGACGGCTCCCTGACATCCCCCACTCGGCCCTGCCTCAGAGCCCCCACACAACATGGTCCTTCAGGGGTCCTCAACTGTCACTTCCTCAGGGATAGCCCTTACCATCCCCGGAGGATACGCTCCCTAATGTCACCGTCACTCAGACCTCACAGCTATCGGCCTCTATCCCAACCACAGGCAAGGACCTAGACACAGAGAACAGCATAGGGCTGCGAGTCCAGGTACTCCTGACCTGCAGTCCTTCTGCCCTCCTCCCAGGCACACGTCCGGACCTTCCTCACTCCCCAGGGTCAAGCGAGAAAGAGCCAGCTACACTGGCCAGGTCCATGGTCGGCACTGCACAGTGATGTCAGCCAGGATGGGAGCAGAAGATGACGGCTGCTGACGGCACGCCTGCACCGGGGTCCCACTCTGCACAACCAGCCACGCACCACAGCATCCTGTGGTCAGGCGAGGGGAGGCTGCCAGGAAACTCTCACATAGAATGCACCCACACACACAGACAGCATACCCCTGTACCCCATCCTCGACATCCACCTCTCTGCCCTCAAAGCTTCTCCCAGGTGACCAGCAGTTGCAAGGTCTGCTCTGCCAAAGCATGCCGACTTGAATGCTCAAGGAAGAGCAGAGGCAGTGTGCTTTCCCGCCGGCCTGCACCCTTCCCAGACTCATCCCCTGCGTCAGGCCCCCAAACCCAACTGCTGCAACCCCGCATGCAGCTCTCACAGTGCCTGGGATCCTAGAATCAGAGCTCCAGCTTTTTCCCACTGTGTCTTGAAAGACAGCTGAAGTCAGCTCACAGCAGAAGACAGGAACTGATCACATGGCAGATCATGGGTTCAATGAACACTGGCCCAGACAGGAACTGTGGGGACTAGACAACATTTCACAGACTACAGTGAGGGAGATGCAGGCGGAAAAGAGCTCTGGGGTGCTCACCATATACCCTGCCAGCTTCCTGAGGTGAAACCCCCACCAGCAGATATCTGTGGGGTCAGGCTGGGCACCACTCCCAGCTGCCAGCCATTAGGAGCACTGGCTCTGCTGGGTGCACTCCAGCCTCCGAGCAGCCTGCTCTGATCCCCTTCTACAACCTCAATGAACCTCTCCTAAAGAAGGCCCCCACTCCAGCCAAGCCAGAGGGAGCCTGGCCACCAGCACAATCCGGCCACCACTGCTGGATTACCTGGGCCAGCAGCCTTGCCCCCTCCTGAGTGCCACACACTGTGCTAGCACAGCACATCTCGCACACACCTCAGGCACCTGTTCCTCTCACCCTCATTTTTCATGTTGTGGAACAACTTCGTCATCTGTGTCCAAGGCCACACAGCTGGCTGGTGACAGACTTAAGAACCAAGTTCTTCTGTTTCTGACTTGGACTACTTGTTATCTCCCCACCTGCAGGGTAGCCACCCCTGCCACTGGCCAGAGGGCTGCCGGCTCCTCTGGCGGGGGATCCATACCTGAGCCCAGCAGGGTGAAAGTGCCACTGAGGGGCTTCCAGCTTCACAACCCTAAAGCCAACAACCCACACTACAGCAAGGAGGCCCACTGTATCCCAAGCACAGCACAGGGATAGGAAGCAGGCCTCCATGAGGTTACTGTAAAGCTCCGACATCAGCCTTCCCCTCATGCGATGCCTCTCGGAATCAAGAGGAGCCCTTATGGGCTCTCTGGCTCAGCCAGCCCTCCCTTGTCCTGGAAGCCATGAGGAACCTCCCACCACATAAGCTAGCCTGTAGCACTTTACCCAAGCAGAATCGAGTCCCTGCAGAAGTGCCAAAACCTGGCTGGGCCCTGTGGGACTGCAGGAGAGAGAAGCAGGCCTAAAGCAGAATTCTGCGCAGGGGTTCTGGCCTCGTGGGAGAGAGCACACAGGCAGCACCTGCAGGCCCCAAAGGCCTCCCCAGCAAGAGCAAGGCAGACAATTCTAGGCATTGCCCTAGGCGTCTGGTTCTTGCACAATTCCCCATGACTCAGGCTAACACGGAGCCCTTCCGGTAACACGGAGCCCTTCCAGTCGGCCTCCCATGGAGCCTTGGAGATAAGCAGAAGGAAATCAAGAGTGACCCAGGGGTGCCCAGAGCATTCCAGAATGGTGCCCAACACAAGGCCCAGTCAGCTGACTCCCCTAGGCCTCGGCAGCAGGACCTCAGGCAGGCTGCGGACCTTCCTCAGCTACGTGCTCCCCCATGCAGGATGCCCTTCCTTAGTCACAGGAAGGTTGGAGGGCTGGAGGAGGACTCATAGGTGACATGCTTACCCCAGGACACGGAGCTAGCCCAAGGGAACCGCAGGCAGGGCAGAGGCCTAGGGACTGCTAGGGCGACACACATGTACTGCAGACTCAGGATGTACCGAGCCCCGTCATTCCCAGCACGAGCTATCTAACGACAAGGCCTCCTTCCAGGGATCTGCTTCACTGGGCCTCACAGACTACAGTAGTACAGAGTTTGGTGATAGCTAGCCTCCAGAGGCTTTTCCAATGAGATGGCAAAGGGTGATGGAAATAAAACCACGCAGGGTGGAGGAAAAAACTAGACCTGAGCCTCAGCTGGGTGACTGCTACTCATCCTGGGGCCCTGAGCAGCCACCCGTCTCCTGGGCCTCAGTATGGCAACCGGCAAAGGGAGCAA